CGCCAAGGTCTCCAGGAAGGATGCGGGGCTGTACGAGTGTGCAGCTGCCAATGCCCTAGGCACGGCCATCAGCTCCTGCACGCTGGCTGTGGCACGTAAGGAGGCATGGTGGGGGACCTTGGGGGACAACCTTGGGGACAGAGAGCATGTGCCAGGCAATGTACCCCGGGGCTGGGGACCGGACAGAGCAGCTCACTTCAGCTCCGCTCTCCACATCTGCAAGAGACTGGAACTTCTGAGGGGGGACAGTCTGGTTTTGCATGGGCACTTCCAGTATCTCTGAGTCCACGTGTTGTGCTGCCCTCATGCCGCAGCATCTCTGCCCTGCCCCTAGCCAGGCACCCAGCCCACTCTTCCTGTCCCCTTGCAGGGCTCCCCGGGCGGCCGGGCACCCCAGAGATCCCCCAGAAGTACAAGAACACGGTGCTGGTTCTGTGGAAACCCGCGGAGAGCAAAGCCCCCTGCACCTACACACTGGAGCGCAGGCTGGACGGTACGTGGGACTGCCCCCCATCCCCCAGGAGCTGCAGCCAGAAAGATGGGCTCCCCCGGGGACACCAAGCCAGGACAGGAGAGCCCAATGTCCTTGCTGTCCCCTGGGGCTCAGTGGGGTCCTGGGTCAGGGGTGGGGGGACAAGGGGCCTGCCTCTGGTCTGCCCTTGCCTCAACTTGCCCCGACACTGGCAGGGGAGCATGAGTGGAAGATCGTCAGCACTGGCATCATCGACTGCTACTTCAACGTGACGGACCTGCCCCCCAGAAGCGCTGCCAAGTTTCGGGTGGCCTGTGTCAACAAGGCCGGGCAGGGCCCCTACAGCACCCCCTCAGGGAAGGTGCACCTCGAGGCGGCAGGTCAGTGAGCCCTGTCCCACGGGACATAGGGCAGCCGTGGAGCTGGCTGTGGGGTTCTGGGATGCTCTGGGAGTCCTGGAATCCCAAGGGATCTTCCCCCCCGGGCTTTAGGGAATGGGGAGAGGCTTGCACCCCACTCCTGACTTACCCCTGCCTGGCTCATACCTCACTTTGCTCCTAGCAGATGCCCAAGCTGCCCCAGCCAAGGACATCGTTGTCTCTGTCCCTGTCCTCGTCCCAGAGAAGGTGGCTTCCAGCCGGTCGACCCAGACGCCCGTGGAGCAGCTGGAGCCGCCGACAACAGGGCCTCCCCCCACCACGCCACCCCCTGAGCACAAGGAAGAGGTGCAGAAGGCAGATGGGGCAGTGCAGGGGGATGTCCCCCCTGGGGTCCTCCAGCCCCCTGCACTCCGCGAGGAGGGGCCACGGCTGGATCCCAATCTCCCACCCGACATCACTGTCTGTGTGCCCCCCGAGCTGATGTTCACCCCTCCGCGGACTGTCGCCTCGCCCCACACAGACACCCCCATCCAGGGCTCTCCTGTACCCCCCACGGACACGTCCTCCCCACCCCAGGCTCCGTCTCCTTCCAAATTCTCCCCCATTTCTCCAGTGTCGACCACCCCTGCCTCAGCCACCACACCCTCTCCCACCTCCAACGCTGCACCCACGAGGAAGATGCCCCCCTATATGGTCACCTCCTTTGTTTCCATGCCCACCACGTCACCCCCTGTGCAGGAGCACCCCCCCACTGCCCCATCCTCCAAGGAGCCCTCAGCCGAGAGCGGAGTCCCAGGAGCGAAAGACAGCATGGCGCTGCGGCAGGGCGTCCCCCAGAAGCCATACACTTTCCTGGATGAGAAGGCGAGGTGAGTAGTGGTGGGACAGGACGCTCTGCCAGGGGTGTCCCTCCCAACACCCCATGTTGGGGATGTGAGCGCCTTCCTGTGCTGCAGGGGCCGTTTTGGGGTGATCCGGCTGTGCAAGGAGAATGCCACGGGGAAGCACTTCATGGCCAAGATCGTGCCCTATGAGACAGAGCGGAAGCAGAGCGTGCTGCAGGAGTACGAGATCCTCAAGGCGCTGCACCACGAGCGCATCATGGCCCTGCACGAGGCATACATCACTCCCCGCTACCTGGTGCTCATCTGCGAGAACTGTGCTGGCAAGGAGATCCTCTACAGCATCGTGGACAGGTATGGGTGGGCACAGGGCTGCCAGGGATGGCTGCCAGCACAGGGCCACCTGCTGATGCCACTTGTCCCCAGGTTTCGCTACTCAGAGGACGACGTGGTGAACTATGTGCTGCAGCTCCTGCAAGGCCTTGAGTACCTGCACAGCCGCCGCATCGTGCACCTCGACATCAAGCCGGACAACGTTGTCGTCTCGGGCATGAACGCCCTCAAGATCATCGATTTCGGCAGCGCCCAAACCTACAACCCCCTCGTGCTGCGGCAGCTGGGGCGGCGTGTAGGCACCCTGGAGTACATGTGTGAGTGGGGCACCAGAGAGGTGGTGGCATGGGGATGGGGATGGGGACAGGGACAGATCTGGGGCACACTTGTGCCTGAGGTGTGCATGTGTACCTGTGCCCTGAGGGTCTTGGGAATGGGGAGGAGTTGAAGTGTCTTTGGGGAAGCTGGGAGGGATTTGGGGTGCTGAGGGTTTCAGCTGAAGCTTTCTGTAGGGTTGCTGGGCTCAGTGGAAGAGTTTAGCTGATGTGGGGCAGTTGGGGTATCCTTGGAGATGCTGGGCTCTGTCAGGGTATTGGGGTGTCAGTGAAGGTTGCTGAGGGGTGCAAGGGTGGGGTGCTGGGGGTGCTCTGAGTGCTGGGGATACTGCAGGTTTTGGAGGTGCTGGGAGTGCTGGCGATGCTGTGGGTGCTGGGGCTGGGCCCCCAGCACGTATGACAGACCTGCTCCCCTGCCTGCAGCGCCTGAGGTGGTGAAGGGGGACCCGGTGGGCTCCGCAGCAGATGTCTGGGGAGTTGGCATCCTCACCTACATCATGTAAGAGAAGGGCCTGGGGGGACGAGCACCCTGAGGTGTAGTCAGCCCCACCCAGGGCTCGGTGGCATGGGGGATGCCATGCTGGTGGTGGGCTGGGGGATGCTGTAGTCCTGCAGACTAGACACAGGGATGGAGACATCCTGGTCAGCTCTGTGGCTCTCCCAAACCCGGGATGGTGGGTAGAGGGGTGCTGGGTGTCCTCCCACTGCTGCCCCCCAGCCTGTGCCACCTTGTCCACCCTCTCAGGCTCAGTGGGCGGTCACCGTTCTTTGAACTGGACCCCATCGAGACGGAAAACCGCATCCTGGCAGGGCGCTTTGATGCCTTCAAACTGTACCCCAACGTCTCGCAGAGTGCTGCCCTCTTCATCCGCAAGGTCCTTGCTGTCCACCCCTGGTGAGTGCCCAGCCCAGACAGGGAGGAGGAGATGTGGCCCCAGACTGTGCCTGTGACTGAGCCAGGCAGGCAACTCCCTGACCCATGGGGCCCCTCCAGATATCATCAGTGGGACCCCGGGGTACATCCCTGCTGCTGGAGAGGGCTGGAATCTCATGAACTCAGGACAGTGGGATCCATCTCTGCTCTTGAAGAGGGCTGGGACCCCCTGAGTCTTGCAGGGCAGGGGTGGTGGCCAGGTTTTGGGGGGTGCAGTGGCAGTGGGCACCCCATGACCCCTGACGCAGAGACACCCCTGCCCCAGGAGCCGCCCCACGGTGAAGGACTGCTTTGCCAACGCCTGGCTCCAGGACGCCTATTTGATGAAGCTGCGCCGCCAGACCCTGACCTTCACCACCAACCGCCTCAAAGAGTTCCTGGTGGAGCATCAGCGGCGCCGTGGCGAGGCCGTCACCAAGCACAAGGTCTTACTCCGCTCCTACCAGGGCGGCCAGCCGCCAGGGCCGCAGTAGCCGGTGCCTCGGCCATGGCCGTGAAGGGCCGAGGAGCCAGAGGAACATTCCAGGGGCCGCAGGACAGGGCGGCTAAGGAGGAGCCAGGACACGCCGGGATGAGCCCATGGACCTCAAATGCTGTCACTGGGGACGCTGTCGGCTGGCATCATTTTGGCAGTGCCTATGGAGAGGGGAGGTGCTGCCCCAGCCGGATCAGTGGTAGGGTCCAGCAGCGAGGAGGGTGGCGAGAAGCCTTGCTGCAAGGAATGGAGAATGCGGCAGAGGGTCATGAGAAGGATGGGATGGGGACAGGGGAGCGGGAGAGCCGCCAGCACGCTGGCCAGCCCTGGCCACGCAGGTCCTGTCAGCCGTGTGCCTTATGCCACAGCCTGCAGCTGCCCCCGGCCACGGCACGGGGGTCTCTGCACTCCCCTTGGCTTGTATGCCAGTGCCTGAAGACTGAGGCTGCTCCAGTGGTTCCTGTAGAGAGGGGCCCGCTCGCACTCCCCCATGGCCCTGGTCCTCACGGCTGGGAGCGGGGGCCACCAGCCCCCCATCTTCCGCTCCTCCCAGCCCCGGTCCTGGCAAGCGGGTTTGTGGCCCCAGGACCGACACCGGTGCCTTCCCCGGGGCTGTTGGCTGCGCCCTGCACCGGGGCAGGGCGGCTGGCTGGCACACCCCTCCCCTTCGCAGGGAGGCACCTGCGTGCCACGCACACCTCCTGTGCCTGCTCAGGCCTACGCTGCTCACACTCTGCCCGCCTGGCTCCGGCCCTTGCCCTGTGCCCTGCCGCCAGCCTGCCTGTCTGTCCTTAGATCCACCTCCCACCGGACCCCCCAGTGCCACGGCACAGCCCCACAGGGCCCCTGCCGAGCCCCCTCCTCGGCTGGCGGCAGGATACTCCGACACGGCCGCGGTGCCCTGGGCGGGGGGACAGGGGCAGCGCTTGGGTACTGGCCTTCCAGCCACCGCTGTAGCGATAGGGCTTTATTTATTTTGACTTTGGGGAGACGGCCTCTGTCCGCCCCCATCCCCATCCCCGTCCCCTCCTCTCCGCCGGGCTCCGGAGTTGCCAGCGTCCCCACGGTTTGGAGCAAGCAACGTGCCAGAGCAGCAATAAAGACCCTGAGCAGCCTGTCCCGTCTCCGTGCCTCGACGGGAGGGGCGGGCGGTGTGGGCAGGGCGCCTCGGGC